TTGTTCCAATGCAATGTTAGGTTCAAAAGGGCTTATTTGTACTACTATACCAGAGGTTCTCATCAGATGAAAAAAATTTATATATATTATATTCCTATAAGTCTATGTATCTCGAGGTCTTACATCTGCCAATTCGTCGTCATATGCATCACTCTTACGTACCCGCCCTAGATACTTAACTTTTCCATTTACAAGGGATTTATTATTTGAAGCTTATTAATACCTTGCTTGAAATTCATTTTTATTCTCTCTTATGGTCACAACTGTCGATTGACTTTTGTACTATGAATAAAAGATGGCCTTCAAAGAATACCTAAAAATTTCATTTAATTAGAACTTTTTCCCTATTATATTTCAAGTATAAATGGTTCGTAGACTGGCTTCATTGTAAATCAAATGATACTTTTCTTGGAGTTCTTGACTGTTGATTTTGCGAAGTATTCGGCGCATCGTCTCGTAATCCTGAATGAGGGTCGCAGGATAATGAGCATTCCGGTCACAACTCATTTTTACTGTCATCATAAGAAGTCTTATTATTAACCAGTCATCTAGCTTTGTGGCACAATTTTTTGCCACAATAAGCAAACGTGTGTCCACGTGTGTGTGTTTTTTTTATTGCAAAATAAGCAAGTGTTTATTCGAAAGTATGATGAACAACTTGTCAAAGAGACAAGTTGTAGTGGGGTGATAAGAGTGGCAGTGATCACTGACAATGTCGGCGAAATATCTGGGAATGTACCAAGTTCACAGTCCGACTCTGGAAATTATCATGCATACCATGAACTTCGCACAAGATGCGTTCCTCTAGAGTTCTTCATGACTATACGACCAAATCGTGAAAACAAGGTCAAGCAACTTCTAAACATGTTTGTTTATACCTAATCTTTATACCACCTAGGCGTCAGCTTTGTCTAAAATTTCTTGTGTTTGAAAGACTCGCACTGTACATGTTTACTATTTTTGACTTCCCCTAATTCACTACTAGCCCCATATCATTATAGGTTTTTAATTTTATGGACCTAGCATTTACTATTATCTATAGTCTGTATGCTTCTTAATTTATCTCTTGTATATCCTTTTTCTTAAGTCCGCTCTCTCCCCACCGTTTTCTGATGCATGTAACATTAACAATGTTGCTCATCAGTTTTGTCTATATCTACTCCTTCGTATATAAATAGCTCTTCGTCTGCTTCCGATATTGATGACTTGTCCATCCATACTGCTATCTCCTCATACATTTTTCTTCCTCGCATCCATTCCCGTACTCATACAGTTGATGTTGAGGTGCTTGCAAGCCATCAGCCTAGAACCACCTCTTCTCATTTCAATTATTCACAACCTCAAGGGTTACCCACTGTCAGTCACCAAAGCTGCCATCCACAAGAGGGTTCCGAATTCCGAGGGTTGCTGACTACCTCTCCTCAAGTCTTCGGAACTCGCCAGTCTCTGGTTGCACCTTTTCTTGTTGGTTCGGGAGATGGCAATGGGTCATACACAAATGAGCCTGGCCTCATTCCAGCTAGCAATCAAGATTCTGGACCCCGTCTAGCAATACCTCGGACTCCTAGACCCTCACTTCTGGCCGGTATATCTGATTTAGACATATCACCGCCAGGTTGGACCGATTGTCGTCGTCCTGTTGCCGAGGATGCTGGTAGTGACGCCTTGGAAACAATCAGTTCTCGAGTCTTGCTCGCTGCTTCACAGCGATGTAGGTTAATTTGAGCGAAGTTGTCACAAAAGGCATTATTATTATGTTCGCTTATAGCTATATAAGTTTCTTAGAAGCTTTTCTACGCTCCATTACTCATCATTCCTATTGAGTCGAAATTGCCAACCTAGAAAATGGAGATATCCTCATTGTAATCATCTTTTAAAAAATAGCTACCATTAGCTTGCTCTTCTGCTAATACTTCTGCTATGCTCCCCCGTCACCGTACACACGAAGTAACTAGTTCATAGGCGACTCACACTTATCATTTACTTACAGTTGCACTCCTGTAAACCCAATAGCCGAATTTAACAAGTCCTGGTTTCAAGCCTTGCCCAATTAGATTCTGTTACGCTAGTAACCGTTTTCCTGTTTTGCATTGATTAGGCTTCGAAACTACAATACTCTTATTTTGTCTTTTCTTCTGTACTACAGTTTCATATGCCATACTGTTACTATGAGGACCCACATTTTTTGTTATCCTGACTCTGCACTTCCTTTCTGGTTAGGCTAACTCATTCGAAGTTCTGTTTTCATCCACCCTTGTCTCTTCATCTCAATCTTCTCCAACGAACTTATTTTATCCAAACTTTTGTCCCAGCTGCGTTGATGCTTGAATCAGGTTTAATGACACACTAGACTTCGATGGAACTCCAGCTATTATAACTGCTGTCTCACCTTTTCATATTAATTCCCTTTATATACATGCCTTCCCCTTCCCTAAACTATATTGACTTAATTAAATAATTAAATGTTGTCAGGATCCTTCAGTATGATTAGCATAAATGATTTGTGCAGATTCGCAATTTGAGTTAAAAAAACTACGCAACATTAAAACAACATGAGAATATTAGATGAGATTTGAGACTACGTAGGTTTCTGTTATCCTCGCTGCAACATTAGGAAAATGAGGCTGATCAATTGCAATCCCACAAGAAGCTTTCAATCGGCATTGGCGATAAATTGCCAATTTCTATTGCTATTTATCAGCTCTCCTCATATGTAGGGGTACTCTTAGATTGGCTTTCAAGTTCGCTTTTATAATACATTTCTAAGAGCTATGTTCGGTATATAAACTTGTGTCCTTATTGTAAATGATACAATTCCATTTGATCTATTAAGGAAAGCAAAATAAGTTCGCCTTCGCTCAACTCAGTCAAACAGAACATCAAAATATTTGAAGTGGTTTCCGCAACTTGATCGTATTATCAGAATGACTCAATTGGGCGTACCTTGTCCGAAGTCCTTTGTTATAGTAGTTATCACAATTTA